TCCTCTGGGCAGTTCAATTTCATTTTCAGTAGTCCAAGTCCTGAAGAGTCTACACGAAGTGTTTCAAGATCATCGCCAGTGCCAACAGTTCGAGCGAACGATTTCAAGAAGATTCTCCAGCGTTTTCAGGTGAGCTGAATTGACAAAAAAAAAATAAATTTTTTTATTCTCTGCCATACTCATGAATACAAACGAACAACTCGCCCAGAACGAGCATGAACATAGGGGAATCCTTCCGATAAATATGTCTTTCAGAAGTTCAATAAGCACTTTTCAACTGTCCCCCCTCCTAGAGACCTGTTTCGATGAACTTGCTTTTGTTTTATTTTTTGGTGCTAAACTGGGTTTGAAACTCGTTACTAATTCAATCAGGGAACGGGTTTATTGGCAAATCGCCAAGTTATGATTTCGCTGTTTTTGTCTCCTGCATGGGTTCCATAGTGGGCGGACTACCTCATAGAGGCGGACTTGACGGTTCTAGAATCCAATTCTACTCTCTTGAATACTTTTGATTGCATAAATGCCAGAGGAAGTTTTTCCAAGAAACTTGATCAAATTTCGTCTCATCATGTGTCCAATCAGATTTTGGGGTTAGGAGGGTCCCGCTGACTGTGGACCAGAGAGTTCTTTTGCGATCGAGAGACGGTCACCCAATCAACCCAATCACGGGCAAGCTGAGCTCCCTTGCCACATTGCCAAGACTTTCATATGCAATCAACCCTCAACTGGTCTTGTCTGAGTATTGCGTCGTGTCAACGAGCACTGATTACTTCCCGTGTGTGTGCATGAGAACGTGTACTGAAGTGGTTGTCTACATTGCCGATAGAGTGTTTGTTTGATCGCCCACATAGCTGGGATACTCGTCGCCGGAATTCCGAGCGTTACCCGTTACCGTCAGCCCATCAGACGTCAAACTGTGCCAGAGTCCATTCTGTTTGTGCTAGTCGCTATCTGATTGCTGTACAGGCCATCATGGTGACCACGATGATGCCATGGCCGAGCCTACCACGGATTCGGGTACGATACCTCTAATGGTTTTTCTTCTGGTTTTCTATGATCCTCAGACCCTTTTGCTCTTCTTTTCACTACCATTTCGAAGAAAAACGAAATAAAAAACCGTTCCTCCAAAAAAAAAACTGTCTGCTTCGTTGCTTCAATGGTGGAGGGGCGTCTTGTTGAGGGTTCCATTTCCATTTAATTGTTATTTGATTTTTGCTTCACATTAATTCAGATTCTTAACTACACTCACTCAAAACTGATCTCTTTCGAAGGCAAACCATAAAATACAGCGAAAATGTCTTGCAGAATGAGCTTTTCCACTATATCCTTCACGGTGTTCCCGAACACCATAGGTTTTTGGCCAAAAATTTGCCAGTTTGCGTGTGGTAGCTTAAAAGCCTGATTCAAAGCTTCGAATTGAAGAGGAATGCCTGTCTAGAAAATAATTGAGGAATGCAAACGACTTTTTCTCGGCAATGGTAGAAATTTTGTAGTAGCGGTAGTGGGTAGTTTTTCCTACCGGCATTTCCTACCTTCCGATTTTCAGACTTGGCATGTGAGAGGATGATTTTCAAGGGGGAGGGGGGAGGTATGTGCTTACCAAACCGAGTTTCCGGAGGTTTTTCTAAACTGACCTTATTTTGGGCATTTTTTATTGGTTCCATTTTTTCAAAGTGTTTCTTGTAAACTGAATCGATCATTTCATGTAGTAAAGTCTGGTCCTCTCTCACTCAAGGGTCGGTAAACTGTCGAAGAAAAACTTTGAGATGGCAAACACATTCTGCTGAGGAGAAAAAAAGAACTCAAAAAGACTTTGTCTGGGTTTCTCCTATATTCGAGTTCACATCTTTCATGTCGATTTTGTTCCACCACAACAAAAGTGCCTGAAAGTGGGCAAAGTAAAAATAGATTCCCTCTGAGAATTGAATTTTATTTAGCAAATCTATTTTCCTGTTCAGATTGCTGACAAACGAGCTCAGCTTCCTCGGAGGTTCACCACTGATTCGATGCGAGTTACCTCGCCCCGAGCGAGCCCATCTGACGTAATGAACTGCTGTGGAGATGTCTGGTCACCGAGAAAGAACAGATCACCGTCTAGGGAAATGACACGAGAAATAGCAAGGAAAAGCTCTAGAGAATTATGGACCACAGACGGTCATGAGGAACCGCGAGAAGCATGGTCACCGGCACAGCGAAGCAGCTTGAATTCAGGACATACGTCAGTCATAAAGTGATTACAAACATCTATAAATTAGGTCGATTGAAACTCAACCGGTTTATAGGAGCAGCCCAACATCCAGAAATACATCCGCACGATCACGAGCCAGTATGTCCTCTATTCAAAGTCCAATCAGTTTCATGCCAACGAGGGAGGCATCACCAAGATCGGTTCGTTGCATCATTTCTTTCATCTCTGAAAGGGTTTCTACCAGGTCCAGGATACCCGAGTTTCAGATGCCCAGTCCATCAAGATTGCCCAGTCGTGGTGGAACGTCCAGTTCATCTGAAAATCCAAGCAGCCACAGTCCATTCAGTCATACCGGCTCAACGCCCGAGCCCGTGTCGATCACAGTTCGACCGGCTCCACTTACTGTGAAAGTTCCGACACCAAAACGTCGAAGCCTTCCAGCCAGGTATGTGCTTGGGCTGGGGTTGCCGTATATTTGAAAACTGATATGCTCACTCGTCCAAATTGATCTTATTCTTGCAGATGGATAAAGGAATCAGATATTGACGACCCGTCGACTCTGTATTTGAGCCCAATCGATTCGCCAATAGAGGAAGCCATGCCTCTGAAGGTTTGAAAGTTCTGAATTAGTTTTTCAGTGAGATACTGGATAAAGTAGAAGGTATGGGATATCATTTTCGAAAGCGGCCAGAAAGGGGGTAATAACACTGCATTGGAATAACCTAATGCCCAAGGTATGGGTCGCCTCCAGTTCTATGATTACCCAGTGGAGCGATGGGGATCTGGCGTGGGATTGGCCTGGAGTTACGATTTCCATTTTTTGTACGGTAGGATAAATGGTGTCGGACGGAGAATTGAGACAGGACAGGCATTAAGTAGGCCGCTGATTGAAACTGCTTCTTAGAAAAAACAACAAAAGTACTTACTTCGTGGGCGACCTAGTTGGAGGGTTTTCGTACTTCGCTCTACATTTTTTCTCTGACATCCGCTCGATGGTAGGGATTTGAAAAGAATCTCTTTGTATTCAAAGCAGTCAAGATGATAATACTTGTTAAGAAGATCAATCCACTTCGTAGCGCACCACTACCGTCTTCAGAACAACTTCCCCCTAATCCAAGGCTTGGTGTACCGGTAAGTTATTTGATCTGCGGATAAAGTTGTAGACCTGTTAAGGTCATAGACGAGCAGATGAATCCTCAGTGGGACTTACCTTAGACGGCTATGTGAGGGAGAGCTTAACGGAAGGTCCACTATTCCGTAGGGCTCGAAGGATGTGACCGAAAAACTTGTAGTTTAAAAAGTATAATAATAAAAAGGTCCTGAAAAGTGGCAGAGTTTTGTTTTTCAAGTTAACGGCCCACCTCGGAACTGGTATAGTGGACCACGCCCTAATACCAGAACGCTAAACATATCGCCGTTTGCTATCGTTTACTTTGATGCTTTCGTTTGTCACAATGGACGATTCCCTCTTTCTTTACTACTTATTACTCATTTCAGTCACGATATAGTATCGGCAGTTGTCGAAAGGTATTGGCTGGTGTGGATGTGAATGCCTCTTCGGGAATGTTCATGAGACGTAGTCGTTCAAAAGACGAGCGAGCTTCGATTGGCATCTCAATGTCACCATGTCGAACACAGAAATCGGGTAAGCCACATGGGTGGGGATCATTTTTCTCAGGCTAAGGGATAAATTCAGATTTTTCAGCATCACGCTCCACCCTACATTCTGTGCCAATCTTTTTGTCCAATGAAAGTGTTGGTAGTGGTAATCGCGGCTCGCAGACTGAAGGATCCCTCGGCAAAAGATCGTTGGATAGCCCTGAGGATCAGAACAAGATGTACCTACAGGTAGCAACTTCAGGATACTTCAGATGGGAGGCCAGACGGTGGTAGAGCTGACAGTGCTAGATTACTCGTCATTGGTGGGTCACCGAATTGCACAAACGCTGCTCTCCGTACTAGCCAGTGAGGAGTGAGCTGGGGTAGCTTCTGCTTCCTCACTATGTCCCTGGCTCGATAGCCCTTATTTTGTTGACAAATCTAAACAAAAAAATAAATATAAAATAAAGAACTGTATAATTAAATGAGAAGATACAATATTTAGCTTGATTAGGCTTGCAACTGTCAATTTTTGGTTTCACTTATAAAACAAATCAGAATTTTATAGATGCACTTTCAGATGGCATTGTCTCATGTGCAGACCCTTTCGATGGTAGCTGATCGTCTTGCCAACGATATGAGGTAGAAGATTCTGCGCTGATTCGAAATTGAATTGTTTTTTTCCCAGTTTTATTTCTATTTTTCTTTTTTTCCTCAACGTTTCATTCCTAGGCGTGGTGAAGAGCCGGTCTCGCGTAATCAGTTGGGTCAACTTGAGTTTTCGCACTTCATCATTCAATCTCAACATCCGATTCTCACTAAGGGCAAGAGCCTCTTCTACAATGCCATATTACCACGCCCAGGCGAATCGGATTATCCAGTAACTCTTATGGTATGAGTATTTTAGAGTGGCCAGCACCATCCCATTGCATTCTAACCCTCTTTCAAGATTGCGCCATGCTCCCAATACGCTCCACTTATGCGAAAAAGCGGTTCACAGTTGTTTACGCTGCCTGGGTTCTTGGAGCTGGAAGATCAGGATGGCAGCATCAGCAAATTCCTTCATGATACAGGAACACCGAATCTCGACGGCCGACATACTAAGGTGACCAATACTGTACACTTCTTTGCCTGAAAGGAACTTTTAGAAAAAAAGCGAATCAACACTTCAATTAGTCATGTAAAGTGTGCGGAGCCATTTACTAGTAAAATTACTAATAAAATTTATGAATTCAAAAAGTTCCAGGTTGTCTTATTTCTTCATGATCTTTCCCAACTTTTAAAATTGTTTTTTTTTTTT